TGGGACCCTTCAGTCCCCCTTGGAGGCTCTCTATCCTGAGTGAAATCAGTGTTTTCCTGGTCCCTGACCTTTATAGCTTTGACCAGAAGGCCATTCTGGGGAACAAGAGTGGAAAAATTGCCTATCCCTTTAATGAAGTATAAATATCCAGTTGAGTCCAACCACCCATTCATCATCCTGGAATCCTGCCCTTGACCCAAACCAAGCACCTGGGCCCACAGCGCCCCCTACTGACAACACCTGTCTCCAATTCAATTGACCTACACCTGAGGCTCATAACTACATCCGGGTCCCAGACCATCATGGCGGGCCCGAGAAGATCATTACCAGGCCCAGGCCACAAATACAGCATCCAGGCTTGTATCAGGCTTGTAGTTCTCCATCTGTAACCCAGACCAACATTCCATACCCCGGATGTATAGATAAGATACCAGACTGCCCTCCAGGGCCCAGATCTCCCTGACTGGCATGAACTACCCTCACAGAACCCAGACCTCCTGCTGTGGCTCGGACCTACATCCTGGTCCCAGACCATCATGCAGCCGAGTAGATGATTCCTAGTCCCAGGCCTCAAAATCACAATACAGTCTTGCATCAGAAATGTAGTTCTCAATCTGTAACCCAGAGCATCATTCCAAAACCCAGATGTCCAGATGAGGTACCAAGACCACCCCTCGTAGCCCAGAATAACCTCCCAGGCTCAAACTGCCCTCCAAGGACCCAGACCTACATCTGGGGCTCAGACATACATCCCAGTCCCAGACCTTTTTTAATTTTTTTTTTTTTTTTTTTTTTTTTTTTTTTTTTTTTTTTTTTTTACCACAGAGGGAAGAGAGTGGGATTAAGAGTTAGAAACATTGATGAGAAACATTGATTAGCTGCCTCCTGCACACCCTCCATTGGGGCTGTGGCTGCAACCAAGAAACATGCCCCTGAAGGCAATTGAACCTGGGACCCTCCATGCCCCCGACCAAGGCTCTATCCCTTGAGCGAAATCAGTGTCCACCAGGTTCTTGACCTTTATAGCTTGGACCAGAAGGCCATTCTGGGTACCAAGTCTAGAAACAACTGCCTAACCCTTTAATGGAGTGTAAATATCGGGGCGAGTACAAATCAGCCATTCATCATCCCAAAGTCCTGCCCTTGACCCACACCAAGCACCTGGGCCTACAGCGTCCCCTACTGAAAACACCTGTCTCCAAGCCAATAGACCTACACCTGAGGCTCATACCAACATCCGGGTCCTAGACCATTATGGCGATTTTGAGAAGATCATTAACAGGCCTAGGCCATGAACAAAGTATCCAGGCTTGTATCAGGCGTGTAGTTCTCCATCTGTAACCCAGTCCACTATTCCATACCCCAGATGTCTAGATGAGGTTCCAGACAGCCCTCCAGGGCCCAGATCTCCCTGCCTGGCATGAACTGCCCTCTCAGAACCCAGACCTCCAGCTGAGGCTCGGACCTACATTCGGGTCCCAGACCATCATGGTGGAGCCCAGTAGATTATTCCTAGTCTCAGGCCTCAAAAAGACAATAGTCTTGTATCAGGAATGTAGTTCTCAATCTGTAACCCAGAGCATCATTCCATAACTCAGATGTTCAGATGAGGTACCATGACTGCCCCGTGGCCCAGATCTCCCTCCCTGGCCCGATCTGCCCTCCAAGGACCCAGACCTACCTCTGGGGCTCAGACCTACATCCCAGTCCCAGACCTTTTTTAATGTTTTTTGTTTTTGTTTTTGTTTTTGCTTTTGTTTTCCACAGAGGGAAGAGAGTGGGATAGAGAGTTAAAAACATTGATGAGAAACATGGATCAGCTGCCTCCTGCACACCTCTCATTGGGGCTGTGCCTGCAACCAAGGAACATGCCCCCAAAGGCAATTGAACCTGGGACCCTCCATGCCCCCAACCAAGTCCCAGGTGGGATTCCTGCTCAGGGCACATGCCCTGGCCGGGTTGTGGGCTGGATCCCAGCTTGGAGCGAACCAGCCGGGGCCAGGCTGTCCTTCCTGGTGACCTTCCTGCCTACCCGCCTCGCCCTGACTCTCCCAAGGCCAAGGCCGAGCCTGAGCACAGGGAGGCCCTACCTTTGGCAACAGGTGCGGGTGGGCTCACCTCCTCCTCCTCTTGGACAGACCCGGCCCCGGCACCCATGGTCACTCACAAGCATTCGTCTCCGTGGACGGCTGCTGCGCCCACGGACAGAGGCTCGGCTCCAGGAACGGAGGCCGCGTGTGCTGTGGCCTTGAGGGGGCGGCCTGTCCGTCCTCGCTGAGCTCCGGGCCCGTGACCCTCCTGCCTCCCCCCATCTCCCTGACTCTCCCAAGGCCAAGGCCGAGCCCGAGCACAGGGGGCCCTACCTTTGGCAACAGGTGTGGGTGGGCCCCGCCGGCAAAGACCCACTTCCTGTTGGTGAGCAGGGCAGGTGGTCCACGCTGTGGTTGAACACATGGACAAGGGACACGCCGTCCAGCCGGAGCATTGTCTGCAACTAGGGCACGCCCACCCCTCACCATGGGCGGAAACCCTAGAGCCCAGCGGGCAGGCTGGCAGCGGGGGCGGGGCCACCATGTCTTTCTTTTTAAAAAAAATATATTTCCATTGAAATAAATCAGTCCGAGAAAGACAAGTATCCCATGACCGCACTCTGATGTGGAATCTAAATAACAAAATAAACTGATGAACCGAGTGGGTCCAGAGACATGGGTGCATGGAACGGAGTGCGGACCCTCGGAAGGAAGGCGGGGAAGGTGGGCGGGGAGGGGGGGCGGTAATCAAAGACCTTGTGTGCTCACATGCATCACCCAAGGACTCGGACAATAGGGAGCTGAAGGCCTGGGGCGGGGGAGGGAGGGGCGGGCTGCAGGGGCTCAGTGGGGAAAGGGGGTTATCTGTAATACTTTCAACAATGAAGATTAGAAGTGCATATTTTTTTAAAATTTATTTTAGAGAGTGTGGTGAGCCGGCAGGGCTATGGCATACTCAGCCCAGGGTACCTTATGTGAGTCCGCCAGGTTCAGTGAACCTGAGTGGGGGCGGTGAAGGATTGAGAAAAGACAGACAAGAGAATGGATGCTGGGTCATGGTGGGACGCCGTCCTCTCTGATGGAGAGGTAGAGACTACAAGCCGTGTCTTTATTTTACAGCCGATGCCATGAGGCATATAAGGGCGTGGTCAGGATGTTTACAACGTTCTGGTGGCTTTCAATCCTACTCAACTACATGCACCTGGTCAAGCTTTGTTTACCTGCAGCTTCTATCACTCAGTCACGTGGGGCCACGTGTTCGGGGCCACAGGTTCACGCTGACAGCTCCAGCTGTTGGCTATCACTGTGCTGGGAGGCTCTGCCCTCCAGGCTGGCACTTACACGTGGCCACGGGAGGACTGTGCCCTCTCATCAGTCACGCCAGCCAGGGCCTAGACTCCTTTTAAATCCATGTTCTAAATGGCAAAGAAAAAGACTTCTTAAAAACATAGGCCTAGCCCTAGCTGGTTTAGCTCAGTGGATAGAGCGTCGGCCTGTGGACCTGAAGGGTCCCAGGTTCGATTCCGGTCAAGGGCACACACCTGGGTGGGGGGCTCGATCCCCAGTGGGCGGTGTGCAGGAGGCAGCTGATCAATGATTCTCGTCATTGATGTTTCTCTCTCTCCTCCTCCTTTCCTCTCTGAAATCAATGAAGAAATATATTTAAAAACAAACAAAACACACATAGGTCTAAGAAATATGGGTCTTTTGCTCCTTTGCTGAAGAACAATTCCTCTCGCCATTGCCCTTCATATGTGTGAAGTGTGAGTTACATCCTGCAAATGACACTTCCTGACTTTCCGCCTCGTCTTCGCATCTTCTCCCCGTGGCTACCTCCAGCCATGGACTCCCTTTGGGTCTGAGTCAGCGAGCTGGGCCTCCAGGCCTCCCAGGCGCCCTCTCCACCCCCGGGCCTGCCCCACCTCCCTCCCTCCCGGGCTTTCCTTCCCTCGCTCCTGGGCACCGCTTCCCACAGAGCGGGGGCGGGAGGCCCCACCTCAGACACCCACACGCCCTTGGGAGACTCGGTGGGAGACATTTCCACGAGGGCACCATCTCCAACCCCTCAGCCCAGCTTTCCTCCACCCTCCCCGCCCCCAAAGTCAGGGGAGTGGACCCCAGGTTCTAGGCTTGATTTGCTGGGAGTTGTTCGCTCCCAGGATGGGGGGTGGGGTGGGGGGTAGCTCTTTCTCAGACCCATTCCCATGGGGACATTCCTGCGCCTGAGCCTTTGATGTATTCTTTATTTCTCGGTCCTTTGGAGCGTTTTTTATTCCCGAGTGTATTCTGAGTCTCTTCTAGCTACGTGTCAATATCAACCTCTGTATTTTTCACCCTGGCTGGTGTGGCTCAGTGGATAGAGTGTCAGCCTGGGGACTGAAGGGTCCCGGGTTCGGTTCTTGTCAAGGGCACATGCTCAGTTTGTGGGCTTAAGCCCCAGTAGGGGGGCGTGTAGGAGGCAGCCAATCAGTGATTCTCTCTCATCATGAATGTTTCTATCTCTGCCTCTCCCTTCCTCTCTGACATCAATAATTATATATATATATATATTTCTACTTTCCCAAGGCACCTCCTGTGGCTTAAGGTTCCCAGGACGTCCCTCGGTTGCTCACAGGCTAGAACACTGAGAAGCAGACGCAGGTGCCTTCCCTCTGAACCAGCCTCCACCTAACCCCCCTCTTCCCGAGCAGGTGCCCGAGGAAGGTTCCGGAACCATGTCTGTGTGTAACCGTCCTCGTCCCGCTCTCAGTGTTCCCTCTCTCCCCGGTGTGCGAGCGGAGGGGCCGTTTGTCGCCCTCCATCTTCCGAGCCTGTGACCTGTGTGCCTGGCCCAGTGTCTGATGCGTGACGGACCCATCTCTGTCGATTTCTCGAATATCACTGAAATAATCATCTGGGTTTGCAAACATAACTCTCTTTACTGCGGCGAAGGAGGAAGTCGATGCCAGGCGAAGTGCACTGGTTGCTGGGTCACGTCGGCAGAGAATACATCACCAGGATGCTGTCCTCGCGGCTCTTGGTCACCAGGCACACCACGCTGGAGCTGTCGCAGAGCGCCATGGAGGAGTAGCTGCAAAGGAAGGAGGGAGAGGAAGAGGGAGAGGGAGAAGGCAAGGGGGAAGAGGGGGTGAGAGAGAGAGAGAGAGAGAGAGAGAGAGAGAGAGAGAGAGAGAGATCAATGATGAGAGAGAATCATTGATCGGCTGCCTCCTGCACATCCACCATTGCGGATGGAACCTGGGCATGAGCTCTTGACTGGAATCGAACCCGGGGCCTTTTAGTCCGGAGGCTGATGGATGGTCTGTCCACTGAGCAAACTGGCCGGGTCGAAGGATCTTTTTCTGTTTAGACCCTAGGATCCCTTTGCTTGACTAGATATCTGAAACCAAGAGGAAGCGTGGGCACCGAGGGGGCTCACCAGCTGGGTGTCGGGTCAGCCCGCCGCTGTTCCAGGTGGCAGCAGCTCCGGAGGCGAGGGCTCTGGCCCTCCTCCTCCCACATGTACAGGTGCAGGTAGTTGTCCAGGGACGTGGTGAGGACGTGGACGGAGTCCTGCGGAGGACAGCGGGTGAGCGGCGCCCCCGGAGCCTGCAGGCAGGAGGGGGGCGCACGCACCATCCACAGGTGGCAGATGATGTCCTGGTGGTGGTCGAACCGCTGCAGCATGTGGCCGTGGATGGAGAAGACAAACAGGTGTGCCCCGCTCTCAAAGACGATCCTGGTCCCGTCCCAGGACCCCATCCGAAACGGGCTCTCCATCCCGTCCGGCAGCATGAAGCTCGCAACCTGCTGGGCTGTTTTCGGGGGAAACACGCACACTGGCAACCAGGCAGGCGCCGGGTCCTGTGGTCCGAACCACGTCCTCACCCTGAACAGAGAGACAGACTCCCGCCCGCCCGCCGGCGGGGCTCAGGGGCTGAGCGGCGACCTAGGGACCAGGAGGTCAGGCTTCGATTCTGGTCAAGGGCATTTGCCTGGGTTGTGGGCTCGATCCCCAGTGTGGGGCCTACAGGAACCAGCTGACCCATGGTTCCCTCTCATCATTGATGTTCCTCTCCCTCTCCCTTTGTCTCCAAAATCAATAAAAATATATACTATCTAATAAAAGAGTAATATGCAAATTGACCATCACTCCAACACACGATGGCCACACCATGTGGTCCAAAATGGGTGCCCCCATGTGGACACAAGATGTCCACCACAAGATGGCCTGCAGGGGAGGGCAGTGGTGGGCGATCAGGTCAGCAGGGAAGGGCAGTTGGGGAGAGACCAGGCCTGCAGGGGTGGGCAGTTGGGGGAGATCAGGCCTGCAGGGGAGGACAGTTAGCGGGAACCAGGCCTGCTTGGGGAGGGGGACAAGGCCTGCAGGAGAGGGCAGTTGGGGGGGACCAGGCTTGCATGGGAGGTGGGGGCAACCAGGCTGGCAAGGGAGGACAGTTAGGGGTTACTGGGCCAGCAGGAGAGGGTAGTTGGGGTCAACCAGGCCTGCAGGGGTGGACAGTTAGGGGTGACCAGGCTGGCAGGGGAGGGCAGTTAGGGGCAATCAGGCAGGCAGTGAGGTGAGCGGTTGGGAGCCAACAGTCCTCAATGATGAGAGGGATGTCTCAGATTGGAGAGGGTGCAGCCTGGGTTGAGGGACATCCCCCATCCCCGTGCACAAATTTCATGCACCGGGCCCTCTAGTTTTAAAAATAAAATCGAACCAGTCAGAGCAAGCCCCGCCCGTAGGAAGTCTGCGCCTGCCAGGCCCACTTGTCACCACGGTTCTGCCCGCAGGGCTCCTGGTGGACAGGTCAAAGGTGCCGAACCCGGTCCTTCGGAACAAGGCTCTCCGGAACATCATCGTCACCCGGTTGGCGCACTTCAGGGCCCAGGAGGCTTTGCTGCAAAATGCAAACGGGAGGGAGACCCACAGCCGGGCAGTGTCCGAGGGCCTGAGCAGGCACTGGGCGGCGAACACCTGGGGGAGAGCAGGGGACAGGGGCTGCCGTGTCTCCGTCTCCGTGCAGAGGCGAGACCGGGAAACCCTCTCCACACCCTCCCCCGCGTGCCCAGCTGTAGGGGCCCGGGGGCTAGAGCATCGGCCCTCGACTGAAGGGTCCCGGGTTCGACTGGGTCAGGGCACATGCCGATGCTGCGGGCTCCACCCCCAGTGGGGGCAGCTGACCCAGGACTCTCTCCCTCATGGTGTTTCTCCCTCTCCCTTCCTCTCCGCTGAGTCGCAGGAGGCCTTTCGTAGTCCTCAGTCACTGTCAGTCACTGACTGTCTTCCTGTCCTGCCCTCAGGTCCAAGGTCACACACAGAGTCCCCAGCGCCCCCTCAGGGCGGCTGCCCATGACTTCCAAAGCCGTGTGGCTGCACTGGACCCCCCTCAGGTGGCGGGAGGTGTTCCCTCCTCGAAGACCTGCGGAGGGCGGATCCGCCCGCCGCACCTCCCTGAGCTCCCTGCTCCCCATGCCCGGCCCCTGCACACGGGCCTGCTTGCCGGCTGCTGTGGTTCAGTGGAGAGAGCAGCGGCCTGCGGGCCAACGGTTCCGGGTTTGATTCTGGTCAAGGGCACATGCCAGGGCTCTATCCACTGAGCCAACCGTCCAGGCCCAGGCCCTCCTCCTTCCTGGTCACGCTCCCCTCCTCCTCCTCTTGGGCGGACTCGCTGAGCTCCGGGTCAGTGTCCTTCCTGCCTCCCCCCCTCGCCCTGACCCTCCCCAGGCCGAGGCCGAGCACAGGGCGGCCCTACCTTCGGCATCACGTGGGGGTGGGACCCTCCGGCGAAGACCCACTTCCTGTTGGGCGAGCAGTACAGGTGGTTCACGCTGTAGTCGAACGCAGGGACAAGGGACAGGATGTCCAGCTGGGGCACCGTCAGTACATAGATGTCGCCTCCGGAGTCGCCCACCTGCAAGCAGGGCACGTCTTCCCCTCATCATGGGCGGAAACCCTAGAGCCCAGGGGCAGCCTGGCGGCGGGGGCGGGGCCACCATGTCTTTTTTTAAAGATATTTTTATTGATTCCAGAGAGGAAGGGAAAGGGAGAGAGAGGGAGAGTGAAACATCCATGAGGAGAGAGAACCATAGATCAGCTGGCTCCTCCGTGCCCCACACTGGGGATCGAGCCCACAACTGGGCATGTGCCCTGGCCAGAATGGAATCTGTCTACAGGCCGATGCTCGATCCACTGAGCAACACCGGCCAGGGCGGTGCCACCATTTCTTCAATCACAGAGTGGAGACGAACTCCTCTGACCAGCCTGCTCCGCGGGGTCACTGGGACGATCCCAAGGGCTCCGATGTCCTGAGCACCAGGCTAGTGACTGCCTTGCACAGCGACCCTCTGCTCTTTTCCCAATGCCCACCCCTCCCCCAACCCTCGCCTCTCCCTACAGGCTGCCTGGCCCAGCTCACATCCTCTGCGATCAGACACACGGAAGAAAGGAGAGGTGAAGGAATCCCGGACAGCTCCGTGTTCAGAGGAATGGCTGAGGAAAGGTGCCTGTGAGGCGGCCGGCACGCACTGGGGCTGAGGCTCCAGAGGAGGCGAGAACAGAGATGCCTCAGGAGGACAGGGGGAGCCCAGGCAGGTGTGGCTCAGTGGATAGAGCTTCGGCCCAAGGCCTGAAAGGTCCTGGGTTCAACTCCAGTCAAGGGCATGTACCTCGGTTGCAGGTTCCCGGCCCTGGTTGGAGTGCATGCAGGAGGCAACCCATTGATGTGTCTCTCACATCCATGTTTCCCTTTCCCTTCCACTCTCTCTAAAAAGAAAAAAAGTCAATGGGGAAATACCCTCAGGTGAGGATTTACAAGAAAATGCCTGACCAACGTGGCTCAGTGGCTGAGCATCAACCTATGAACCAGGAGGACCTCAATGCGTGGGCCAATCGCACTGCACGAAGTATTTTGTAAAAGAGCCACACTCAAGACACCAAAGAGCCACATGTGGCTCCAGAGCCGCGGTTTGCCGACCACTGTCCTAGGGCAATGGAGACTAAGGAGAAAATAACAGATGGGATGACATTGAAATAAAGGCGTCAGCAAGAGGAACCATCCACAGAACGAGAGAGCCCGCTGCCTGGGAGACACATTTGCCAACATTCCCTATAGTAATAACAATAAACGCATTATATGCTAATTAGACCAGGCAGCCCAACGCCCTTCCGTATGTCCTTCCGGGTGACCTTCCGGATGAAGCTGGGGCTGTGAGGGCCGAGGCCCTTGCATGAATTTCGTGCATTGGGCCCCTCTGGTATCTGATAAGGGTTTTGTCTAAAAATAAATAAATAAATAAAAGAGAAGACAGGTTCAAACTGGCATGGCTCAGTGGATAGAGCGTAGGCCTGCCTGGGGACTGAAAGGTCCCTGGTTTGATTTCAGTCAAGGGCATGTACCTTGGTTGTGGGCACATCCCCAGTAAGGGGCGTGCAAGAGGCAGCTGATTGATGACTCTCTCTCATCAGTGTTTCTAACTATCTCTCTCCCTTCCTCTCTGTACAAAATCAATAAAATATATTAAAAAATAATAATAAATAATAATAAATAAATAAAAAGAAGACAGGCCGGGGGTTGGGAGGCGGCTGTCCCGGGGCCCAGCCCCTGCCCAGGCAGCGGGCGCCGGGCCCTCTGGATGCGGGGCGGCGCTCACCATGACGATGGGGAAGCGGTCGGCGAGGAGGAGCTCCAGGGAGTAGCAGCACCGCGGCAGGCTGCGCCTGGCCAGGAGCCTGGAGTCCCGGCAGTTCCACACCTTGACGGTGTTCTGCTCGTCCACGGTGACAACCAGCGACCTCTTGGGCAGGGTGGCCAGGAACTTGACAGCGGACCACTGGGCAGGGCTGGACCAGATCAAGGAGCCCTGGGAGGAGGGCGGTGGGGTCAGGGGACGCTCGGTCCTGCCCCACTGACCAGGAGCTTCCTCCAGACCAGGTGTCCGCTTTGCAGGAACAGAGCTGAGGAAGGTCTGCTGTGTCGCAGCCACGTGAGGGGCCGTGCACATGAGGAGGAGTTAGGGAGCCCCACCCGGGGTGGCTCAGCGGGTAGAGCATCGGCCTGTGGACTGAAGGGTCCCGGGCTGGATCCCGTCAAGGACACACACCTCAGTGCAGGCTCCTTCCCAGCCCTGGGCCCTGGTCTAGGGCTTATGCAGGAGGCAACCCATCCATGTCTCTCTCTCATGGATGTTTCTCTCTCTCCCACTTCCGTTCGCTCCCTTCCACTCTTTCTAAAAGAATAAATCAATAAAAAAAAAAAAATCAATGGGAGCCGAAACCAGTTTGGCTCAGTGGATAGAGCCTCGGTATGCTTACTGAAAGGTCCCAGGTTCGATTCCGGTCAAGGGCATGTACCTTGGTTGCGGGCACATCCCCAGTAGGGGGTGTGCAAGAGGCAGCTGGTCGATGTTTCTAGCTTTCTATCCCTTCCCTCTCTCTTCCTCTCTGTAAAAGCTCAATAAAATATATTTTTTTAAAAATCAACGGGAAACATCCTCAGGGGAGGGTGGAAATTCTAAAAAGTGAATTCTCATTCTCCTCCTGCTCTAGTGTAAGCGAAGGGTCGCAAGCTGCCTACGAAAGACCCGATGAGAAGCTATTTCTATTGCCAATCGAAAGGCCCCTCCCTCCCCGCACGGACTGGCCGGTGGATGGGGTGGCCACAGGGCGCGACCTGTGTGCTCACGGCCAGACTCACCTCCTGCACATCCCAGGCGAAGAGCATGCACCTGGAGGACCCCGAGCACAGGATGGACCTCTGTTCAGTCAGGGAGGGGTCACTTCCTGAGAGATAAGCCAAAGGCCCCTGGACTCCTGGAAGGCAACACAGGCCGTGCTGGCCCCAGGAGCTCAAGGCGCGACCCTTTCTCATGAGAAAGGAGAGCTCTGGGGCCACAACGCTCCATTCCCTGCAGCCTTCATGGAGGGCAGGATGGAGATGGCTCCAGAGTCACCCGAACCGGGCCCCTGGGGGGAGGTGGACCCATTTGCTTTTCCTCCTTAACCTCAGTTTCTAGAGATATAAAATGGGGATTGAAAATAATTCCACCGGGTCCTAGCTGGTGTGGCTCCGTGGATAGCGCATCGGTCTGTGGACGGAAGGGTCCCAGTCAAGGCACAGGCCCCAGGTTGCAGGCTCCGTCCCCAGTAGGGGGCGTGCAGGAGGCAGCTGATCCATGATTCTCATCACTGATGTTTCTATCTCTTCCTTCCTCTCTGAAATCAGTAAAAATAAATAAGTAAATGTTTCTTTTCCTTTAAGACGTGTGTTCTAGGAGGGACGGGAAGCCTTTGGGGAAAAGGAGTCATGGGCCGGCGTTATGTTGTGCGAAGATCACACGGGCTTCTCCAGGCAGCACCGGGGATGGGACAGGGCACGAGGGCTGGGGGACGGGGAAGGGGATGAGATAGGGGCAGGTGACGGGACAGGACAGGTGACGGGACAGGGGACAGGGGATAGGGTACAGGGGATAGGGGACAGGGGACAGAGGACAGGGATGCATGTGGTTGGGCAGGAGCCAGTACTTGTCATCACAGCAGCTCAGTCCCATTATGTCTTCCTTCCCTTTCTCTTCGCTGAGTGAGCGCGCGCACACACACACACACACACACACACATGCACACGCACATACACATGCGCCGTGCATGCACACATACCCGTGCACAGACACACATGCACACAAACAACCCAAACCAGTGTGTTTCCTCCACAACGAACGCGTTGCCCTTCCCGCACCGAAGCCGCCTGGGGCCTCCCGGTAGGAGAAGTCCTGGGGCTGGGCCCGCAGCATCCGGAGCTCCCGCCGGCCCTGGGCGAGGAAGAGCTGCTTCCACGTGCACTCCTGCGGGGCCTCCCAGGAGCCGGGCCACCTGCTCCGACACAGGCTCCTGGGGAGGCACAGCCGTCAGGGGCCGCCCCGGGCCCCCGCACCGCCTCTGCCCGCTGTGCCCCTCAGCCCCCACTGCCCAGCCACCCCCAGGCCTCACTCAACCTCGGGGACACCTGCCGCCTCCCTCCCCTGCCCCCTCCCTCTCCTGCCTGCCCTCCCCCACCGGCCCCCCCCTCCCCATTCCTCCCTCCTTCCCTGCCTGCCCTCCCCCGCTCCCTCCCTCCCCCGCCTGCCCCCTCCCCTGCCTGCCCTCCTCCCTCCTCTGCCCTCCCCTGCCCGCCCCCTGGCCATACCTCCACAGGTGCTCCTCATTGGCCATTCTGTTCCAGTACTTGGGGAGAGAAGGGGAAAAGCAGGCAACTGGTACCCGAACGTGGCCCCTCCTTCTCCATCTTGTTCTGGGAGCACGGCCCTCAGGGGCAGCGAGCCACGGGCTCTCCCAGCCGCCCCAGAGGGGCCCGTGGATGTGGTGACGGCAGCGGTGGCCGCTGCGGGACAGGCCCTCCTGGGAGACTCGGGGGGGCTGCCGGCCCGACAGCCACGTGCCCCTGCTGTCTGCTAAGGGGCACCAAAGTGGCCAGGAGACCACCAGCTCTCACGGACACGGGGGCATGCCGGGTTGAGCGTGGTCACGTCAAGGGGCAGAGGAAGGCTGCCTGGGGGAGATGCTGGGAGCCAGGATCCTGAGGCCCCAGAGCAAGGGGAGGGTCCAGTGCACCAAGAAGGCGGACAGAGCGGGGGGTGGGGGAGGCGCTCACCTTGCTCACCTGGCCCGCCTGCAGCAAGCTGGCGGCGTCCAGGAAGGAGAAGATGTGCAGCATCGGCACCTCAGGCAGCGGCACCTGCACCTCTACCTCTACCTCCCCCTCCGTCTCCCTCTCTACCACCCCCTCTACCTCCCCCTCCGTCTCCCCCTCCATCTTCTCCTCCATCTCCCCCTCTACCTCCCCCTCCGTCTCCCCCTCCATCTTCCCCTCCATCTCCCCCTCTACCTCCCCCTCCATTTTGTGGCTGAGCCCGTGACCAGGCTATCTCCCCGTCTGTGGGCCACCCTGAATTTAACAGCAGGTCTGGCCACCGCTGCACCTGCCCAGGAGGGTGCCCACCTGCCCGCCGCTTGGCCGGAGAGGAGGGAACAGGCTGCAGGTGCCCGCCAAACCTCCCCGCCACCTGCCGAGGGCGGCCCTGCCTCCGGGGCGGCTCGCTGCCCGCTGTTCTCAATGGACCTGCTTCCCAGGCACAGCTGCCGCCGCCACGCCATGTTTTCCTCAAATCTTTGTTATTTCATTCATTTGTTTTTTTAAAGAGAGGTGTCGCTTTTTACAAAATACATTTTTTTATTCGTTTCAGAGAGGAAGGAAGAGAGAGAACCATCCGTGATGAGAGGGAATCATGGGTCTGCTGCCTCCTGCACGTGCCCCTCCCCCCCTCAACTGAGGATCGAGTCCACAACCCAGGCATGTGCCCCGCAAGGAATCGAACCCTGACCTCCTGGTTCCTAGGTCAACTCTCAACCACTGAGCCAAGGCCCCCGGGCAAACCTGTTCTCTTCTGCACATCTGTACTTGGATGGTTAAAGTAAGGTGACCAGACGTCCCGCTTTTGGAGGGACAGTCCCGATTTTTAACAAATTGTCCCTCGACCCAAGGCATTTTTTAAAAAGTCCCGAATCGGGACGCTGGACAAATTGTTAAAAATCGGGACTGTCCCGCCAAAAGCGGGACTCCTGGTCACCTTAGCTTAGGCGTCTCTGGCCTGTGTTTACACAGGAGTCTTTCTGGTCCCCCCGCAAGCATTGGCTCTGCGTCCCAGGAGTCTCCAGTGTCACCTGCGTTCACCCTCTTGCTTCATGTTGCTGGTGACCCTCCTCTTTCCCTGGAGCTTCGTCCCTTCCCCCAGTCCTCCCCTCCCCGCTCCCCCAGTGCTGTCCCTAAAGTAACACAGCCGGGAGGGTTCTGCTCCTCAGCTCCTGGGCTTGCTCTCTGTCCAGCAGAGCCCCGCGATGAGGCTGGAAGTGAAGTAAGCCCACACATCTGTGTGTCTGTTCTCCGTCTCTCCCCCGAGATGGGCTGTGATTTCTCTGATGGAAGGGGTCTGTCTCTCTGACTCACAGGCCAGGCTTGTTTGGGAAACAGAAGATTGGGTTACACTACATCTGAGGGAGGGGAGGGAAGAGTGGGCGAATGCGCGAACTCCCGTTTTCATAATCATTTTGTTTACTTTCTGCCAATTATTTTAATGTGATTTTAGGTGGGTTTTTTAAATTATTTTATTGGATAACAGACTGACTTGAACACACTTCAGTTTTTTCATTAATTAAGTAGCCTTATGACTGTTAAAGTAAACATGGGATAATTGTGTAATGAATTCCAACACTGGGAACTACTCATTGGATAAGCCACCTTGAAGTCATTTGTATTTTCCCTTTCAACTGGTTTAATTGATGTCAAATGTCTGCCAATGACTCCGCTCACCTAACCCATCTCAGATTATCAGAACAGTCTTGGCGGTATTGAGCGGTCAGACAGTATGGAAGCTTTTAGTATTATTTCTACTGGAGAAGCAAGTAAGGCATTAGCTATGTGAAATATTTGAAATGTATTTTGCTTTTACTGTACAGTGACCTAGACATTTATAGCTATGTCTCTATTTCTGCTATTTTTAGACTTGATTGAAAAACATTTTAATGAAATGAGAAAAGATAATGGTACAGAATGTTGAGGAACACATTTTATACTAAAGCTCATGTCAGAACTGACTTCAAGGGAAGTAAAGTCACAGATCCTGGGGCTGGTGAACCCCAGTTGTTGCTCTTCATAAAGTAGTCTTGATAACTTGAGACTACACACACACACACACACACACACACATATATATAAATATATATATATATATATATATATATATACACACACAAATATATAAGTTTATATATTTTATTTCAGGGAGAAAAGGAGAGAGAGAGAGAGAAAGAGAGAGAGAAACATAAATGAAGAGAGAGTATCAAGGATTGGCTGCCTCCTGCATGCAACCTATTGGAGATCAATCCACAACCCAGGCATATGCCCTGATTAGGAATCTACCTTTGACCTCCTGGTTCATAGGTGGATGTTCAACCACTGAGAAACACCGGCTGGGCTCTCACAGTCCTTTACGATGGAGGCCCACCTTTAGATCCTCAGAACTTTAGAATCATGCACTTACCTCCTAACTGCCCATCTGGATACTTCACAGTGTGCGTGTGTGTGTGTGTGTGTGTGTGTGTGTGTGTGGCAGCAGGGGGGGGGGGCATATAAATTGGGGAGGAACAATTCAGTCTACAGCAGTATTTTCCTAGAATTAGGAATTAAGCCTGGTATTTAGACTCATGAAAACAGGATTCATGCTTCCAGAGAGAAAGTGGGTTTCTCAGTCGCATCAAATGTTGAGCTAAATGTAAAATAGAAATTATTAAAATTGAAAGTATTAAAAATACAATGAGTTGTTCACACAAAAACATTGAGTGGAATAACATGGAGATGAAAAAGAACATATTTGTTTTTTAGAAGAAAGAAGAAGAAGAAGAAGAAAAAAGGGCAGAGTAAAAGGAGGGGGAGAAGTTACCCAGGAATAATACAAAACATTCCCCAGCATAGGAGAAATACACATTTAGAGCTTTTTAAAAAATCTAAACTGACAAGTGAGGAGGATTTTTAAGACTGAAATGCCTACACAACCCATCATAAAATCTCAAAACGCCAGTGAAAGTGCTAAAAGTTGCAGAAAATAAAATAATGCATGAACATTGAGACTCTGGCTGGCCTCGGATATTTCATCAGTGAAACCAGTTTCTAGGAGATAATGCTTTCAGAGTTGGTGGGAGAATTATTTTGACTGTAACTCCCATGCCAGGAAAGAAGCCCAATGTCATAATAAATATCTCTCACAGAATATATGTGGGTACGCGCCAGAAAGAAAGCGAGGGTGAAAACCAAGAGAAAGGAAGATTTGCTATAAGTCCAAGATAAGTGAAAATAAGCTTGCATGATGGTGGCTGGGAAGGGTCCAAATTATGCCAGGAAATCCTAAGAAGTTCTAAGTGGAATGTCTTTTAAAAAACAGGACTGGGTCCGTCCAGGGAAGAAAGGGAAAATGATCGTAGCTAATAAACCCAACAGCCTCGTGTTTGGAGAAGAAATCCCAAGACCTCGTCTGAGAAAGAAAAGCAAGCACCTGTTATTTCTGCCCATTATGTCAGTGTTTCCTGCCCACTACGACAGGCGAGTCTATGTAATGGAAGCTGCCATTAGTGACTCATGTTTTCTCTATCCAACCTCCGTGAACACCCAATGCCATAGTTTGTACATTTTCTAAATGAGGGGCAGGAGTGGGGACAGCAGAATTGTCTTTGTGTGAGCAGCTCAACTGTGGATGAAGATCCAGACTTTAGAGCTGGTACAGCAACCTCTTTGTTGAGTCTAGGGCAGTGGTCGGCAAACTCATTAGTCAACAGAGCCAACTGTCAACAGGACAATGACTGAAATTTCTTTGGAGAGCCGAAAGCTGACTTCTGCGCGTGGGCCGCAAAGTTTCCATCGCACTGTCTGTGTGCGCCCGCACGTGGTTTTTTGTGGAAGAGCCACACTCAGGGGGCCAAAGAGCCGCATGTGGCTCACAAGCAGCAGTTTGCTGACCCCTGGTCTAGGGAATAGGATGCAGTTGTAATTCTTATGCATGAAAAAAAATCTCTCCGTCTTCAGGATTAAAAAGATCAGCAAAGAAGAGAAGCTGCATTAATGAAATTCATTTCCTTTCACAGGAGCCTGAGCAATTTACCCTATAATTTAGGAAGGTGACGCAGGGCCCGGCGGTAGGCAATGCACCTGAAATAGCCAGCATCCTGCTGTCCTGCCGAGCCATCCGTGCTCATTAACATTCGGTGTGGGGACCCGCAGGTGGCTGGCAGCACCTTGGATCAATTTCCCTGTCCCAAAGTTGCAGCAGACAAATCCTGTCACAGACTCCACACCTGCCCCCTCCCCGCTGGAAGTCACCACATGGAACACCTGCTTTGGGGTCCGTGCACAGAGTTATAGCAATAGCTTCCTGAAATACCCATCTCCTTCCCAGGAGATAGGAAGAGAATAGATGCGTTTCAGCAACAGTTTCCCTTGGAGTAGTACCACCTGTCAAGGCCAAACGCTGGTCCTTTTTCCCAGAGGGAAGTTCATGTTGGCATATCTGTTATGTCTTACAGGTGTGGTATAAAGTGAAAACATGTGTTTGTGTTGGACCAGAAGACCCGGACAGCTGTTGCCATGGTCCTTCCCTGTGCCTTCTCCTGAGCGGATGTAAATGTGGGGTTTCCCATGGTGATATTCCAGGCCCTCTCTCTCCCCTGCAGCATGGAAAAGACAGGGGAGGGGGAAACGGCTTAGACATCCCGGGGAGTCAGGACATAGGTCTCAGAAACATTGTTGCCGGGGTTATGTCCTTTGAAGTCGATGATTGAAATCATGGACCAAGTGAGATTGTGCCTTGGAAGCTGGTCTATTTGCACAGAAGCACACAGTTTACAAAGCTCCCCAGAGGGAGAGGGCCCCAAAAGGGTTGCCGATGGGGCTCCTAGGTCTGGGGATTTATATCCTAGAACCAATATTCTCTCTTGGTTCTCAAGTCCCCTCCCCACCCTCTTCCTCCTTCGCTCCTATTCTGGCCACTTGCTTAGTAACTCTTCCCCTCCTTTTTCCTGTTATTCTCCCCAGTTTGCATACCCCTCTGGCTCTTTTCTTAGAATTCCGAGGACATCCTGTTGTACCTGGATGTGTGGCTTTTGTGGTTTGGCCAACCTGTCTGCTAGTTATTTTCCATCCGAAGTTACTTGCTCATTATGTTCTACCTTCCCCCTGCCCCTTTCTGCCTAGGTGTTTCTCACTCCTCTCATGGGCCCCTTAAATGGTTAATCTCTCTGTTCTTCTCAAAGCACCATGGAGAGTTGGGT